ATCAAAATCAACTGCGGGCGGAAGATCCTTTTTGCTATTTAGCTCCCAAACTCTGGAATAACCTAACATTGTCCGGGGGTAGGCCTGTCACGATAACAGCTTTTTGTTGTACGATATATTGCCCCAGAAATAATTGCGATAAGCGATATTATTGTCATTTTAAAGACCATTTTATGCCACTGAATATATAATCATAATATAACAGCATAATAATGCAAGAAGGCCTACACACTTCCAAATGACAACAAACTTTTAATTTTTAAGAATATTTAGATCATGGAAATTAAGTATCAAAATATTAGATACCTTAAAAAACCTGAATAAATAGTAAATAAACATTTCTAACAAAAAGTGCAAAGTAACAAGTAGAAAAAAAGAAAAATGCACAAAGAACAAAGATTTTTCCATCTACAGATTTTTCTCTGTAAATTAAGGGTGCACACTATTGCTGAACAACACAATCACTACTCAGCAGTCAGATGTCCGTATGCACAAAGGCACAGATCCCTAAACAAGGCCATATCTGCAGATGAAACTTTTGTAGAAGCATTTTTTATATTTGAACGAGCAGCTCGTGACTACACCACGTTATGTACAAGAAGCTGCAAAAGACACAGGCGCAAGTGGAATGTACAAAACATGGTGACATTAATTTTTATGTAAATATAATGGGCAATATATTGCGTCACCAAAAATGATTGAGGTCATGTACATATTTTGCGCGATAAGTCGATATATTGATTATTGCGACAGGCCTATTCGGGAGGCAGACACACTCTGTCAGTTGAAATCTAGATTAAAGACCCATCTCTTTAACCTGGCTTACACATAACACACTAACACATTTCTAATATTCAAATCCGTTAAAGGATTTTTTGGCAGCATTAATTAGGTCAACCGGAACCGGGAACACTTCCCATAACACCCGATGTACTTGCTACATCGTTAGAAGAATGGCATCTACTCTAATATTAGTCTGATTCTTTCTTATTCCGAGGTCACCGTAGCCACCAGATCAGATGGTCTCTGCTAGTGTTAATTTCGTTAACGAAGACTATGACGAAAAATGTTCGTTGACAAGCTTTATTCCCATGACTAAGACGAGACGATAATAAGGTTAATAAACGATAACTAAGACTATACCAACATGCAATTTCGTTGACGAAATAAGACGAGACTAAAATGTATTCAAAAAGATAAAAACTTTACCGAAAACCTCTTTTCATTTTCAACAAAATGTTATTGCGCACAGCTCTACACCCCTAGGCGAGCTTTCATGAGTGCGGTTGCCAGATATCAAGAGTTAAAATTATTTTTTAAGAGTTAAAAAGAAAAAGAAAAGAGCTTTGCTGTTACAAGGATACATTTTCTGCCCGGTGTTTTGCGTATTTTAAGCAATCTGGCAACCATGCGCACGCGCTCGCTCCTCATTGCGGAAGCGCCGCCGCCGATGATCTGAAAACACCGACAAACAAGCTGGAGTTCAGCGATCTAACTGAAAGCATCATTCAGACAGTCTGTGTTCTGTCATGAGATCTCTACTATATTGTTTGCGATTGTGATCGCTGAGTAAATGCACTTACTCAACCGCTGTTGTTTTAATAGAGAAATAGGCTATTGCAATTTGGAATTAGTGGAATTACTAATTTCACTGTTTTAATATTTTTCACTGTTTTCATAATGTAGACCGAGAGATTGCATAAGTCTTTGGTATTAATTTATATAATAAAAAGCCTATAATAAATCAGTGCACTAGATTAAGTAAAATACACCATGTACAGCCTATGTCCACATTCTATTGATTTAGATAACTAAAATGTACATTTGAGTAAGACTAAGACTAAATAAAAAATGCCTGTCAAAATTAATACTGCTGTACGGTTAATTAATAATAATATTGCTAAAATGTTAAGTTTTCATTGACTAAAACTAGACTAAAATACTTCAGGTTTTCTTTGACTAAAACTAAACTAAAATGTTGAGACTTTTAGTCGACTAAAACTTGACTAAAACTAAATAGGATAAGGTTGACTAAATATGATAAAAACTAACAAGGACATTTTACCACGGGACTAAGACTAAATTGAAAATAGTTTTAATAAATTAACACTAGTCTCTGCAGTCACCCGGATCCACTCCGTATCCAGCCCAGATGGTGGATCAGCACCTAGAGACGACCTCTACAGACCTGAATGTCAGCAGAGACCAGGACAACTAGATGAGCCCCAGAGACAGATCCCCAGTGAAGACCTTTTCTCCTAGACGGCCACCGGGACAAGACCACGAGAACCAGATGAGTCCTCTGCACAATCTGACTTTGCTGCAGCCTGGAATTTAACTTCTTGTTTCGTCTGGTCAGAGGAGAACTGGCCCCCCGACTGAGCCTGGTTTCTCCCAAGGTTTTTTCTCCATTCGGTCACCGATGGAGTTTTGGTTCCTCTAGCTTGCTTAGTTGGGGAAACTTAATATCCAGCGATATCGTTGACTTGATTGCACAGATACTATTTAAACTGAACTGAGCTGGATGTTGACATCACTGAATTCAATGATGAACTGCCTTTGAGTGTTTACTATTGTCATTTTGCATTATTGACACACTATTTTCCTATTTAATACTGTAAAGCTGCTTTGACACAATCTGTATTGTTAAAAGCGCTATATAAATAAAAGGTTACCCGCACCTGATGAGCATCGGCTCTGCTTATTTGCGACTGCGCTTGGTATATTGCGTGAGAAATTTCAAACGCCTATTTTTGGAATTGCGCTGTTTTGGAATTGCGCTCTCAAGCTAATTTGCCCCGTTTAGTAAATCTGGTCCTAAATGTGTTGTGAATGACAGATGAGACGCTCATACTTCATTGAAGAGCAGTTCTCTCCTCTGCTGCTTCCTGAGGTCCATCATCTTGACGGCGACCTGCCGCCCGCTGTGCTTCTCTCGGGCGATGCACACCACGCCCGTGGAGCCCTCGCCGATCTTCACAAAGTTCTCCAGATACGAGCGAGGGTCGCCGGTGCCCACCACCATCTGCAGCGCGGCTCTGAACTGCTGGTGGGTGACTCCGGGTGTCTCCGGGCCGCTGCCGGGCTTCTGGGCCACTCTGAGGCTGGGAGACGAGGCTCCGCTGCGAACCGCGGGCGAGCCGGTCGGAGCGGGTCTGGGCTGAGACGGGCTGTCCTGCTTCAGAGCGAGCGAGGCTGGAGTCTCAGGGGTTTGGATGGTAGAAATCAGGTCGCTGGAGGAACGCCGTGAGTTCTGATGGCTGATTATTCCATGGCCTGGTTTAGGACTGCTAGTGCCGTTGGGTTTGGAAATGGCTGGGAAACTCTGTGAATTCACCTGTATTCAAGGAAAAGATTAAGTATTTTAAGTTCTATAGACAAATGTAGGAAGTAGATTATTACTCTAGAATAATATTAAATGAATATTCGGTGTTTAAAATAGAGCTGTCAAACGATTAATTGCGATTAATCGCATCCAAAATAAAGGTTTTGTTTACATGGTATATGTGTATGTACTGTGCATATTTATTATGTATATATAAATACACACACATGCATGTATATATTTAAGAAAAATGTTACGTTTATATATTAAATATATGTATATATATATATATAATATAAATTTTATGAATATAAATGAATGCTGTCAAACAATTAATCACGATTAATCGCAACCAAAATAAAAGTTTTTGTTTACATAATATATGTGTGTGTACTGTGTATATTTATTATGCATATATAATACACACACATGCATGTATATATTTAAGAAAATATATTTGTATATTAAATATATTTATATATAATATAAATTATATAAATATAAATAAATACATGTAAATATATTCAAAATATATACTGTATGTGTGTGGAATTATGTATACATAATAAATGTACACAGTACACACACATATATTACATAAAACTTTTATTTTGGATGCGATTAATCGTGATCAATCATTTTACTTACTATACTATATAGTAAGAGTTTGAGTTACTATAGAACTATTAAAATTTTTTTCCTTAAAATAAATTAAAAACATAAAATAAAGCTGAAATAAAAGCATATTGTATACTGAGTATACTTCAGGAAAAAAGTAGCTTATTACACTGGAACAATGTTGTGTTGTTATTGTTAACTAAAACTATTACTACAGAACCATTCATTTCTTTTCCTTGAAATAAAATTCAAAAGGAAAAACATAAAATAAAAAAATTAAATGAAATACAAAAATATTAGATGAAACTTAGAAATGCTGCTTTGGCAACTAACTAAAAAAAGAAAGTAATTTCAAGTACTAAAATGAACACTAAATAAATTAAACTAAAATAAATTAAATAAAAAATTAATTACAGTGAAACAGAAATATTTAAAATGTAAAACTTAAAATTCACTAAAAATGTTTTTTATTGGTCTTATGAAGTATTCTAATTAGTTGAGATAGTGAATTGGTGGGTTTTTGTTAAATGTGAGCCAAAATCATCACAATTAAAAGAACCAAAGACTTAAACTACTTCAGTCTGTGTGCATTGAATTTATTTAATACACGAGTTTCACGATTTGAGTTGAATTACTGAAATAAATGAACTTTTCCACGACATTCTAATTTATTGAGATGCACCTGTATATAAATAATACAAATCTATGTCTTTGTTTTTAATTATAATATAGTATACAATGCAATGATATTTTTAATTAAAATGTAATTTTAATTATAAGTTATAATATAAATATATTTTTTTAAAGTTCAATGCATTGCTGTAAAGGTGAATTTTGCTTCTTTTTTTTAGTTAAAATGATTTTATATAGCAGTTGACAGTGTGTCAAAGATATAGATAAAAAGTATAAATTATACATTTACTATTACACTGCATTGCATTTCACTGCATAGATATTCCAGTGATACAATTCTATTCTTAACATTATAGAGCAATTATTATATGTAGTCTCAGATGAATTTCACAAAACATCCAGATCTTATTTCACTCCAAAATCAAAAGAAAAAAATTGATTTATTTACCTTAATTATATATATATAAATTATATATCTTTTGCAGTATTTGCAAAACTAAACCACAATTTTGTGATAACATGGCAAATTATCAGGTAAAAAAATTGTGTGCATAGCATCTGAATGCAGATATATATCTTTTCCACGATAATAATTTTCAACCATGATAAGGCTCAGCTTCTATTAAACCCAGAGGAATCTGTTTAAGATGTTCTTTATCTTTTTTCAGATATGAACAAACGTTCTTCCAGTAATGCTAATAGAGCGTTCGCTCCGAGTTATCTGGTCTTTAATAGTGTTCTAAAAACATTAGCACAAAAACAAAGGTATAAAGAAGGAATGTTTAATTTGTGCAATATTTAAGTCAAACATTTGTTTTTAAATGTAACTACTTTTTTTCAAAACATTCTGGGAACCTTCAAAAGTAACATTTCTGTAACGTTTGCAAGAATTCTAAAATGGAATGTTTCGTTAACACATAACCAAGAAAGAATCCTTTTAAAACATTTTAAAAACTGGATGTTCAGAGAACATTCCAAAATAACCTTTTAGGAACAAATATTTTTGGTATTTATATTTATGCTTTAACATTTATATTTATATAGTTAGGTTGAGAGTTTTTATTAGATTTATTCATTTTAAATTAAATTAAACAGTAGGCCTACATCAATAATAAAACAATTTTTTTTAATTAGGAACCCACACACACACACACACACACATTTGTTTCTGTGAATTGTGGGGACTTTCCATAGACTTCTATTACTTTTATACTGACCAAACAATATTTTCTATCCCCTAACCCCCAACCCTAACCCTAACCCTAATCCTTACAGAAAACCTGCTTTCAGATAAACATCATTTACTATTTTAAATATTTTTTTCCCCCTTGTGGGGGCCGCAGGCCGGTCCCAACAATGTCAAAAATGTCAGGTTTTACTATCCTTGTGAGGACATTTGGTCACACACACACACACACACACACACACACTCACGCACACACGCACACACTCGCACGCACGCACACACTCACTCTCTCTCACACACACTCACACTTTCAGATAAACATCATTTACTATTTTAAATATTTTTTTCCCCCTTGTGGGGGCCGCAGGCCGGTCCCAACAATGTCAAAAATGTCAGGTTTTACTATCCTTGTGAGGACATTTGGTCACACACACACACACACACACACACACACTCGCACGCACACACGCACACACTCGCACGCACGCACACACTCACTCTCTCTCACACACACTCACACACGCACACACAGACACACACTCACTCTCA